TGCGGGCAAAGTCCTCAATAGCCTGGACATGGGGACGCTTTCTGACCTGGACGCAAAATCCACAAGCAGCCCAGCGGTTGAGTATGGACCTGTGATCCAGGAGATCGCAGTTCCATTCCTAGTCAGGGCATATGCCCGGGTTGTGATGTTTCTTTTTCGTTCTTTCCCTCAAATCAATAAAAAAAGACAGATGAAGTGTTAATATTTCACAGATTTAAAGAAGAATTAATACTAACTAGTCCTTTGCAAACCTTTTCATAAAACAGAAAGAAGGGGTCTTATCCAAACCCATTTTACATGGGTTTTGTTATCTGGGTCATGCTGGCAGACAAGGACACGACAAGAAAAAAAGTTACAGGCCAACATCCCTGATAAACATAGATGGAAAAATTCTCAAAATATTGGCAAAGCAAATTCAGTGCATTAAAAGGATCATATGCCATGATCTAGCAGGGTTTATTTCAGGGATGTAAGCATGTTTCAACACTCATGAATCGGTGTGATACACATTACCACAAATGAAAAGGCAACCTACCGAGTGGGAGAAAATATTTGCAAATAACATATCTGATAAGGGTTAATATCCAAAATACATAAAGAACTCATACCACACAATAGCAAAAAACAAACTCACAAACAATCCCATTAAAAAATGGACAGAGGATCTGAATCGACTTTTCAAAGACATACAGATGGCCAACAGGTGCATACAAAGGTGTTCAACATCACTAATCAGGGAAATGTAAATCAAAACCACAATGAGCTATCACTTCACACCTGTCAGAAATGGCTGTTATCAAAAAGAAAAGAGGTAAATGGTGGTGAAGTTGTGGAGAAAAGAGAACCCTTGTACATTGTTGGTGGTAAGGTAAACTGGTGCAACCACTATGAGAAATAGTATGGCTGTTCCTCAAAGAATTAAAAATAGAATTACCATATGATTCAGAAGTTCTACCTCTGGGTATTTATTTGAAGGAAATAAAGTCACTAACTTGAAAAGACATCTGCACCCCTGACATTGTAACATTATAATAGCCAAGGCATGTAAACAACCTAAGTGTCCATGAATGGTTAAAAAAAATGTAACACATCATGAAAAAGGAGATCCTGACATTTGTTATCATGGATGGACCTTGAGGGCATTTTGCTAAGTAAAGTAAGTCAGAGAAAGACAAGAACCATATAATCTCATTTATATGTAGAATCTAAAACAAAACACCAAACTCATAGAACAGATTAGTGGTTGCTAGAGGTGGGGGTGGAGTGGGTGGGTGGGGGAGTGGGTGAAGATAGTCAAAAGGTACAAACTTCCAGTTATAAAATCAGTATGTCCTGGAGATGTAATATACAGCATGTTTACTATAGTTAATAACACTGTATTGTACATTAGAAAGTTGCTGAGAATGGGTCTTAAAAGTTTCTCATGACAAGAAAAAAAATTTGCAACTGTGTGTGATGATGGATGTTTACTAGGCCTGTTGTGATCATTTTGCAATATATATAAAATCATGTTGTATACCTGAAACTAATGTTATGTGTCAATTATATCTCAATTTAGAAAGTAAATCTTCCTAAATTAAGGGCAACCTAACAGAAAAATGGGCCAAATATAGTAATCGGTTCATAGAACTATGAAAAGCAAATGGTTCTTAAACATATGAAAAATGTTCTATTTCCCACAGAATAAAATAAATTGAAACTACCTGATACACTATACCGCTGCACAAGAGAGATTGGTAAAAATCCAGTTTGACAACTTATTCTCTTGATGAAAATTCCCTTTCCCCAGAGCTTCACCATTATTAGTAGGAAAAGAATAAAGGTAGAATTCCTATGGAAGTATTGGCATATGTAGCAAAATTATACATGTTGACCCTTTGATGGAGCAGTTCTATTTCTGGAATTTCCCCCAAAATGATAAGAATGTTCATTGCAGCACTGTTTGTAAAAGGCAAAGATTCGAAACAACCCAGATGTCCATCAATACATCCGTAGAGTAGGGAAGAAATAAGGTACAGTTAAGTAAAACAAACCACCAGGGAGGAAACAAGATGGCAGCCGAGGTAGCAGCTGCACCTGCTGCGTCCCACAATCACATCAAAATTACAACTAAAATACAGAACCACCATCACTCAGAGCCTCCTGAAATCCGGCTGCACAGAAGCCCTACAATAGGGAGCTGAAGGAGCAACGAGACTGGTAGGAGGGGTGGAGACAGTCCCATACCCAGTTGCCACAGGAGGGAATCTCTGCTGCGGAGGTTTCCTGGAGGAGTGAGGGGTCCCAGCCCCACATCAGGCTCCCAGTCCAGGGCTCCAGGGCTGGGAAGAGAAGTCCCCACACCTTCGGGCTGTGAAACCAGTGGGGACTGTGGCTGAGGGTCGCACAGGCTGCAGGAGTCCCAGGCAGCTCCTCCTAAGGGGCCCCCACACGGACTCAGATGCACTCCCTCTGAGCCCCAACGCCGGGCAGCAGTTTGAAAGGAACTTGGGGAGGAACTAACCTGCCTGCAATCCGGGTGAGAGGTGGTTGTCAGACTCCGCCACGCTGGATTACAACCCTTCCACATCCACGAGTGACACACTCAAGGGGCGCACTTCGTGAACACCAAAGCTCCACTGAAGTAAATCCTGCTCCATAGGGGTGTCTCCAGCACAGCAGCTCTTTGGCTGTAGTTGCTCACAGCCGATTGGCCTGGGGGTCAATTTCTCCCAGTGACGCCAATAGCAACCGAGGCTGAACTATAACAGGACAGAGCACACAGCCCACACAGGGGAGCACCTAGAAGGCCCAGCTCAGGTGACTGGGGAGGCTGAGCCACTGGACCCTACAGGACACCTACTACACAAAGCCACTCTACAAATTCCATAGCAGCTCTACCTAATACATAGAAACAAACACCTGGAAGCAGCCAAAATGTGGAGGCAAAGAAACATGTCACAAGGGAAAGAAAAGAAATCTCCAGGAAAGGAACTAAATGAAATAGAACCGAGCAAGTTACTAGATACAGAGTTCAGAATTATGGTTATAAGGATGCTCAAGCATATTAGAGTATTACGAAAACAACTGAGACCATCGATGACATAATAAAGGACCAATTTGAAATGAAGGCTACAGGAACTGAAATGAAGAATTTACAGGGAATCAACAGTAGAGTAGAGGACGCTGAGAATCAAATCAGCAATTTGGAACATGAGGAAAACACCCACCAGAATAGCAAAAAGAAAAAAATCCAGAAATATGAAGATAGTATGAGGAGCCTCTGGGACAACTTCAGGCGGCCCAACATTCGTATTATTGGGGTGCCAGGAGGAGAAGAGAGCAAGAAATTGAAAACCTATTTGAA